ACCTTGTTGTCAATGTTTTTGTCCAGATTGCTGATGTAAATGTTTCCAGCGCCTGTCCTGAAGCAAAGAAAACTATCGAAAGCAAACGCATGGCTCAGATGCTATAGAACATAGTTCGCAATCTGTGATCCCGAATCTGCAGCAGTGACTGTAGCAGAACGGCTTGAAGATTGTCAGGCCGACATGCATCAGTGAAGTGCTGAGGCTGCGGCTTCCGCAGAGTTGGATCACCTCAGCCACCAGAGGTCGCACTCAAGCTTGCCTTTTCCATGGCCAGATCGAACAAATCTGTGCATCCAAGTCTCGCTGGCTCCACATGATGCGGCACCTGATTCCCACACATTCAACTCCCGGCAGTCTGCTCAACATAGCTGTTTGAAGTCATATCCACCTCGCATGTGATTTTACAATGTTGGACAACCTGTAAGCGCGACATTGTTGGATGTTTGTCTAAACTGCTTCGCGGCAGGGAGCTTAACGCCGCAGGTTTTCATATCATGAGCCGATCTTGACACTTGCGTGCATTTCATGTGCTCCGGAAAAGGAGCCACGGGAATGCCCAAGAAAATCGAAACAATGTGTGGAAAGGGAAATGACTCTTGAAATGAGTCGCCGGATCGGTGCACCTCCCTGAATGTGCTCAAACCGGTAGCTTTGGGATGCTACGAGTTGTAGATTGTCGCCTTGCTAGTTTGGGGGCCCAGGCCCAGCGGATAGTCTCGAGCAGCCGAGCGATCCCGAGTGCAGGGAAGCCCCTAGCATGCCCAAACGGGCTTCGTCAGACAGCACAGCAAAGTGCAGCATTCACAGCTTTACCTTGCGCATGGCGCTAGGACGTCCTGATCTGGGCCGGGAATAGTCCGTGATCAACTTTCACAGCCTCTCACAGACTTTTACAGTTTTGGCTTCTTCTACATCTTCGGTCCTCTGGGCAGGCAACCCTTCAAAAATTTCGAAGCCAGCACGAAGCATTCAAGGGGTCAAAAATACTAACGAATGTCCGAAACACAACGAGGGTGTGCGGCTTTTCAAGCAGCTTGGGGGCCATCAATGTGGATTGCAGCCGCGTGCATCTCTGTTTTTCTTCTTCGGTGCAATCGCTGTCGAGAATCATCTGGCTGGTTTTTCTGATTTTCTGATTGATAGAATTGCCAGTGGGCGTTTGATCTGGTTGAAGCTGTCGAATGCTGGGACGACCGAACCGTTTACCCAACAGCAAAATGGTTCTCCCGTTCTCCCAGTCGTCAACATGCAGCTGTGGCACGATCGGCCGCGTATACTCATGTAATTCAGCGTGTCCAGGGCACGCTCTGCATCAGCCACACCTGGAGCATCTGCTCAGGTGTTAGTGCTCAGACTGATGTGGTAGATGTTTCGTGACATCCTGTACGTGCAGTGCGTCGTAAGACTTTGCAACACTCCACTATCCGTTCTGCAAGCTCAGTGGTGACACATCACGTTGGGGCAGGTCATGATTCGTCCACATCTTGCCGCAGGGCGTCTGTGGAAGTTGATGTATCCATACCCCAGTGACTTGCGAGTCACGGCATCGCGGCCTCAGAACCCATGCTTCGCGGGGCAGATGTGTTCACGGTCTTGCCGGGATTGTTGTGGAGAATTTGAAGGGGGTGAAGATTCAAGAACACGTTGCAAATGCTCGTCGCTACTAACTATAAATTCAGCATGCCATTCGAGCACGTGCTGAGGTTTCGGCAAACACGAATTGAGGCAACTGGCCCGACGGCATTGAAGATCTCATACAACATTGCCTAGCGAGATACTCTGGCTGCTGCAGGCAAGCGTCGCGAGCCATGTGTGCACTCAGCCGTGATGGGTGGGGAATGGTCGGAGAAGGCTGTCGGCATGTGTGGCTGTGCTGTCAAGCATGACCAGTTCTGTGTCTGCAAGCATCGCCCCAGGGAGCCTCGGTGACATCTATGTGCAGGTCGCCAACGTACAGGGAAGCGAATTGTGGGGGTGACGGCCCGGACCTGAGCGACACAGCTCAACTCCTGGAAGGATTTCACTGAGAATCAGTCAAATGGCACCTGATGGAAGAACCCTTTAAACAGGTACATGAAGTCATGAAGATGCTGAATCGATGAAGACAAGTGTAGCATGTCTTCCTGGACCTTATGCATCTTCATGCCCATGCCGCGAAGTTCAGCATCAGAAATCCACCGGACAGTCTTCGAGCAGTCGGCGCTGCAACTGAGACTGCAGCCCTGCAGGTGCGAAACAAACAACGTGTCGACGTGCTCGATACAGATTCTAAGGCAAGGACATTTTCTTGCGATGCCGGCAACTACTAGGTTACTAGGATCGCACGCCAGCTTCACAAGGCAACTTTGTGCTAGAATTTGGCAGTGATTTACCCGACATGCAGCGTTCTTGATGTTCTTGGGTTTCGGCGAGGCTGGATTCATGAGGGTGATGCTCATGTCTTGAAGGAATCTTGCACTCTCTGTTGAAACGCTGCGATGGATTGTAAGCCGAGCTGTAAATAGTATAGTCAGGCGTTGCAGAGCTGTGCATCAGCAACTTGTCGACATGAAAGTCAACGACTATACAAATGATCGCCAACAACTGCAGCACGTCTGAACTTTGCCTAAGTCGCGCACCAAGCCTACCGTAGCCTACCTATCAACTCGCACTGACGAGACGGAGACGGTCGGATGAAGAATGCTCTCACGAGCTCATCCGAGGACCGAGACCTTGTAGTCCCAGTCCTGTTCTCCAAGAAACTCGTTGCTGCAACATGGCTGCCAGCCAGTCGCTGGGAAATGATGCCTTCGATGTGGTGGTCGATGCTTGGCATCAACCATTGCACGAGCAGCAGGATTTCTGAGAGCTCCAGTCCAGCATTCACAACCCTCACAGTGTGTGCTCGAACCACAGCTTCCGTTGCAGATCCGTGCTCGGCAAGGATCAGGGCTCGCGGCCTGCACAGGCTCAAAGTTTGCATAGTTTTATTTGCCCCTACAGCCTTTGCCCACCCAACATCGCCTCATATCGCCTCTTCAGGCTGGGGCTTGAGACGCCCATCTCTGCTGTGTTGACACCCCTTTTCCTTTGGTCGGAATGCCTTACACTGAGGTGGTGGATGAGGGACCTTTGACATGAGGATTCACCACCTGAATTACCCAAATGCATACCTTTACTGGCTGATCTGGATGTCCCTCAACAGCTGCAAGTGCGATCTGCGGGCCCAGACAGCAGTCACACCCTGTGGAAGATACTGAAAGAAGCCACTGGGTATCTCTTAGGTTTTGCCTTTTCGGCGGCTTTTCACCCCAAATCTCGTTTGAATACCTGGAGTTTCCCAGCCAACTTGGGGGTGAGGGCCTGGGACGAAAGCTAGTTTAGGTACCCTGACGGAGGGGTACTTCCCAGGACCGAAGGCATGCAGCGGAGCAGGCACATGCAAGCGTCCGTGTTTTTTTGATGAGGAGCCGACACGCTGCAGAGGAGTCCCATCAACCCTGAACCCTAACCCCTATTGCTGTGGTGGAAATACACATCATTGTCTACATTCTGCGATTGGTAGCCGCAGACCCCTAGCACTTCCGGCAAACCTGCCCTGGGCCCACCCTGGGACCCGCCTAGAATTTCCTGGAGGACACCCAAAGCGGTGTTCATTTGCACCACAATACAAAAGAAATGAACGCCAACTCGTTTCCCCAAAAAATGCGATTCGGTCCCGCAAATAGATGGGGTTTGCTGCTTTTTGTGGTGGAGCCTCCGGGGGCCTTATATACCTATCTGGTTGTAAGCTTCGCTTAAGTAAGATACTCCGCTAGCTCCACGGGGGCTAGCTTTCGTGACATGACCTGTTAGGGGTTCGTAGCCAAAACCAACTCTTAGGTTTCCCGTTCTCCGCAGCATCGCCCTCTGCAAGGTTTAACAGCCAGCATCGGTTTTGCGGTTTAGCCTTTGCTAGGGATTACAGATTCAAGGTTTACGGCATATGGTTTCTGGGCGCAAGCAACATTCCATTTTATCCAGGGTACCTTTTCGGGTTTACGGACTTCGGGGCAAGGATGTTTATTTACAGAACACCTCCATGTAGGGTTTTACGGCTTGACAGCCGACATCTGGAAGGCTTGCCGCAGTCCACAAGTTGCTCCTAGGAGTTTGAGAAGGCGAGTCAAATTGAAACGAATGTCGGAGTTGGTTAGGGCGCTCCATGCCCCGAGAACAGCCATTTTCGCTGCCCCATTGTCGCCACAGCCATTTTTGAGAGCTGAGACTCAGCATGAAGCTGGACCCTGCATTAAAGTTGCGACAAAAGCAGACGCAGGTCTCCAAGGTGGCATACTATGCAAATCTGTGCGAGACAAGGCGTTGAGCGTTGAACGTCTGTAAGCTGGAATTCTTCATTTCAAACGCCAAACCGTGGCCTTGTGTAGTTGAAGTTGGGGGCCAAACATGTCGTTTCGGTACTTCCCACCTTCTGAAAAACCAATGCCCTTTGCTTGCGGACTGCTGACCTGCTTGGGGCTTGTCAGCACTCGGTCGGGATCCGATTGGGTCACGCCTCGGGCCTTGGGAGATGGACATGGCGATAAGAACAAACCCAATCTGATCATACCTGATACCTGTTCTCAGGCCTTGATGCCGAAGGTTCGTGGAACCATGAGTACGCATCTGGCCGATCCGTGTTGTCCACACTGTCCATGTCAAATGTCTCTGGCCGTCATGCCCTCATGTGGAAGTCGACACCGAGTCCCAAGCGCACCTTGCTATATCTTGCTATTGCAGTAAGAGCAGCATTTAGACGAGCTGTACCGTGACTTTCTTCGATTCTTGCTCAGGTGCAAAATCCAGCAGAGAGAGAATAATGGACCAGGCAGCCAAGGCTTCCAAGCATGCCTGCCGCCAGGACTCGTGTCTAACATGCCACCCACTTGCAAACTCTTCTGCCGGCAACAGGCCGGACTTTAGGCCTCCGTCAGGGTATGTCCGCCTTGCCGTCAACACATCCGTTTCTACAATCCAGCTCACCACAGTGCGACAAGCAAGCAACAACCTGTGCCTGGCTTCCAGTCCAGTCTCGCGAACATCGGGAAGGAGACGGCAAGGTAGAGGGCATAGAAAGCAGAACCTCGAGGCAGTCACCGTACGATCAAGGCGCTTTCAGAATCACACTGCTGCCACTTGGCCTGTTCGGGCGACCATTAGCCATGTGGATATAACTGCTACTGCAGGCAAAAGTGGGTGCCATCGAGTTTTATGGCATCGAGCTGCCGACTGTGTACATCTGCTGGCGATCATCGAAGGTGTAATAAGGAAACGCTGAGATGGAAAATGTCTCGAGGAAGGCAGTGCAATAAGCCATGACACAGACCTGACCAAAAAGCGACATCAGTTCGCAACCAGCTCGCGGGTCCAGAGATTACAGATCATTGGGTGCAAGCAAGACGAAAGAAGGAAGCTGCTTGCCTGTGACCCACTCCCTCCCCCCAAAGTCAGCGCGGAGCTGAAATCTCAGTTTAGCTAAAAGCCGACGTCAAGTTGCGACGGACACACAGAAAGTCGTCCGTGCAGCACCAGGTCGATAATGTGTCCAAACCCAGCGAATAACTTTACTTCCAATCGCATGGTAAAAGCCTGCCCGATGCAGCGTGCTGCGTGAGTTTGTGCAAATGGGCCACCAGAAGTGCAGGCTCGCGGCAGAAGTAGAAGTGCGTGGCAAGATACCTGAACCCCAAGAACTCTCAGGGCCAACGCAAAGCAGCCTTGGGTTGCTCAGGGTCCAGGCCCTCTGCTGAACGGTCGCAGAGCAGGCGAGTAGCATGCACACTGGCACTTTATTCAACTGATGATCCGGAAGGAATGGCAAAGTATACTTCCTCAGGTCATGCGAACTTGGCTGAACCAACGGCAGGTGAAAGAAATGCTGCACACAGTCGAATGTGCTAACTCAGCACCTTGAGTGCTGGAAGGCAGCGCTTTCAGCACACAGTAAAGTAATGCGTGCCCCAATAGTTTCCTTAATGCCAGGCCCGATGTACGTTTTGGGGCGCTTGCACACAGAAAAAGGATGTTGAGGTGCCCAGAAAGGAGTAGATTGCGATCCACACGTTTGCCTTTGTGCAGTGCCGCTCCAGCAATGGTAGGTCTTTCTCACCTGCTGTTGGTCACTCATGGCGAAAGCATGAAAACACTGAATCTCCCCGATGCTACTCTGCGCCGCTCCGCCTGTTAGAGATGGGAGGAAGAAGGGCTGCAAGCACAAAGGCGCGGCGAGGCCCCCAGTGACGAGGAGGTAGTGCCACTTATTCATGTTCTCGTAGATGCCGCAAGCTATGATCACCTGGAACTTGCGTTTAGCTTTTCTTGCGGCAACTGCCTGCAGGCTTGACCAAACCATGTCGAGTGTCTGCAAAACAGCTGATCCAAAAGAGTCCGTAGGCCAGAAACCAGTTTTCACATCTCTCTTTCGCTGTCAGTTCCTGCACGAGAGGCATGAACACATCGGACGCTTCACCCTCGACATCAAAGTTTCTGCGCAGACATGGGCTTGGCAACGCGGAGTCGGGGCAACAGATTGCAACGGGTTTAAGGTTCGGGGCCTTCCAGCCGTCAACCACACGCAGCTTGGCAGCACGTCAAAAAAATGGGTTCTCGAATCTCGATAGGTTCCAAAGGGGTTGGGTGCAATCCCTGCCTCGCTCTTCCTGCTTGCGGGTGCTCGTTCAAGCAGCAAGGACAGTCCAGCAAGTGCAAGAAGCTGAGCTGAGACGATCGGTGCGAGTGCTGGTGGAACTTCCATGGCGGCCGAGCTGTGCTGGCAGAGCTCAGAAGTTACTATGGCGTTTTCTGGTAGTTCTACTTGTGGTTGAACGACTGCATGTGATGGTGGATGTCTAAGCGAGCTCGTGCAACTCCGTGATCGCTTGTTGCCGCAAGACCAAAGTCTGGAAAACAGATACTGGCGACACCGCGATTGGAGGGAAAAGTTCAGTGGTGCACTGGACTGGCTTTGTCTCAAATAGCTCTGCATCACTAGACTTCATCTCGCATCTCAAGCTGCTTTGGTTCGCCTGGACAGGTGCAGCATGCGTTTGCAGAGCCAGTGCTGGGGCAGGGGGCACTCTGGTGTCAAGAAGACGGGCATCCGGTCGTGCACCTGCAATGCAACGCGGCAGCTTCACTAGTTGGTCGCACATCAACCAACACACACACACAGACACACACACACACACAAACAAACACAAACACAAACACAAACACACAAACACACAAACACAAACACACAAACACACACACACACACAAACACACAAACACAAACACACACACACACACAAGAAGTTTGCATCTAACGCGCGTTTTGATTGCTGCTTCAGTGTCTTGCAGGTACGTTGGTAGCCCTTAGTCTTTTCAAAGGAACTTACGACCCTAAACAAACAAACTTCATTCAGCCGCCTAGTTTGGTGTTACATGCTGGCGCCGAGTACTGCAAAGGCGAATGTATAAGGTAATCTCCAAACCGCTACCATTCTCGGGCATGGAAGATGGATTTTGCGGTGGCATCCTTGCACTCTGGCGATTTGGATAACCAAAAATCTTTCGAATCTAGCAGATAACTCTGATTATGTGAAGGAGCGTGTTCAAAGGCGGTCCCATTTCAGCCTCGGGCTTTGCGACATCCGTGAACATTGACTTGCTATTCGCGGAATCTGCAGTGCGGCTGGTCCTTCTCCATGGCCGTGTGCTGTGGATCCATGGTGAGCAATGTGACCTTGCAGCGGCTGTCTCGCACGCCACTTTGGGCATGATTGCAGCTCAACACTCAAAACCTGCAAGCTTCGAAGCTGCGAGGTGCGTTCATCGTGATTCTTTTGCAAAAGTTGCACAGCAGACGTCATCACATTGTGTTCCCGACAGACTCCAAAGCCTCCTCGGCTTCATCCTGCACGGCTATGCCGACAGAAAGTCGTCAGGCTGTGTCAGGCTTGGTCAGGGATGATCGGTCGAGGAAGATTCCGAAGTGAACATTCGGTTGCAGAGTTCTTTGGCTCAAACCGCTGCTGGTGACCACATTACACCTGTGGGTGATTTTAGAAAAACCACTGAAAAATCAACAGCTGAAGCCCCGGCTTCGCCCCTCCTGATCCGCTGCAAGTCCTCTACATTACGAATAAAGCCGCAGACTCGACACCCCACCAGTCCGACACGGCACTTATCCGCCGACCCCTGTGGTGGGCGGCGCCAGTGATATCCCGAGAGGTTTTTTCGTCTCTTGGGTAGTCTTGGCTTGCCTATATTTCTACCACCCCCACCGCCCCCACCGCGCCGCCCGCAAAACTGCACCGTCTCGCCAGTATCCACGCCCGGCTCGCATGTTACCGCGCCGCCCGCAAAGCTTCACCGTTTCGGCTATCCACTCCTGGCTCGCATCTCCTAGGTGTTTAGAAAGCAGACCCCCGCTCCCTCGCGCCCTCACCACTCCACCGCCCCACGCCATGACCACCCTCGCCACCCTCACCACTCCACCGCCCCACTCGGATCCGTCACCACCCTCGCCACCCCGACCACCTCCACAGCCCCCCTGTCACCGCCCTCGCCACTGCCCACACCTGGCCCGCTTTGCCTCGCCACTACCCACACCTGGCTCGCATTTCTTAAGTGTTTAGAGAGTATTGAGACATTGAGAGGCTCCCAATGCGTGCCCACACCCCTCCGCGCCCTCACCACCCTCACCACGCCCCCACCGCCCCCGCCGTTCACCGCCGTCGCCACCATCCATACCTGGCTGGCAGTTCCTATAGCTGCTTAGAGAAATTCAATAGCTGCCAATGCGTCCCCACACCCCACTCCCCCTGTGTCACCGCTCTTGCCACTACGCACACCTGGCCCGCGCTTCCCCGCCACTACCCACACCCTGGCCACTACCCGCGGCTGGCTTACCTAGGAAAGGGCGCACTACCCATACCTGGCTAGCAGTTCCTAGCTGTTTAGAGAAATTCAAAAGCTGCCAATGCTTCCCCACACCCTCCCCCACCCCCCACTCCGCCTGTGTCACCGCTCTTGCCACTACGCACACCTGGCCCGCGCTTCCTCGCCACTACCCACACCCTGGCCACTACCCACGGCGGACCCCCTCGCGCCCTCACCGCCCACACCACCCCCACCGCCCCCAGCGCACAACGCTCCCAGCATTCTTAGCCCTTTTTGTAGGTGTTTAGAGAGTATTTAAAGGCTGCCAATGCGGGTTCGGACCCCCCCGCGCCCTCGCCGCCCAGTCTTTCAAGGCTGCCACTGCGTGCCGGGAACGCCCCCGCGCCCTCACCGCCCACACCAATCTCCACCACCCAGCTCCCAGCATTCCTACAACCCCCCCCACCGCCCCCCACCGCGCCGCCCGCAAAACTGCACCGTCTCGCCAGTATCCACGCCCGGCTCGCATGTTACCGCGCCGCCCGCAAAGCTTCACCGTTTCGGCATTATCCACTCCTGGCTCGCATCTCCTAGGTGTTTAGAAAGTAGAACCCCCGCTCCCTCGCGCCCTCACCACTCCACCGCCCCACGCCATGACCACCCTCGCCACCCTCACCACTCCACCGCCCCACTCGGATCCGTCACCACCCTCGCCACCCCGCCACTACCCACACCTGGCCCGCTTTGCCTCGCCACTACCCACACCTGGCTCGCATTTCTTAAGTGTTTAGAGAGTATTGAGACATTGAGAGGCTCCCAATGCGTGCCCACACCCCTCCGCGCCCTCACCACCCTCACCACGCCCCCACCGCCCCCGCCGTTCACCGCCGTCGCCACCACCCATACCTGGCTGGCAGTTCCTAGCTGCTTAGAGAAATTCAATAGCTGCCAATGCGTCCCCACACCCCACTCCCCCTGTGTCACCGCTCTTGCCACTACGCACACCTGGCCCGCGCTTCCTCGCCACTACCCACACCCTGGCCACTACCCACGGCTGGCTTGCCTTTCCTAGGTGTTTGGAGTAATTAAAGACTGCCAATGCGTGCCCGCGACTATTCATACCTGGCTAGCAGTTCCTAGGTGTTTAGAGAATATTTAAGCTGCTAATCCGTCCCCACAACCCCCCCCCCCCCACCCCACCTTTCGTAGGTGTTTAGAGAGTATTTAAAGG